TTAACAAAATATTAAACTAACAAACACAAATTACTACAATACTGTGATTTAGACATAGATATGGTCCATTTTGTATACTGCATTCCAGAAAATAAAATAGTCTCCTCGCTCTAGGTTTAATATTATCAAGAAGCAAATCTGAGTGTTATAACATTGCTCTTCTTGGTGGTGGAGGAAGGCTGATGGACCTTCACATCTTCCTCTGCTGATCCTCTTACCTAACATATATATATGACCAAAGAATAAAATGAGGAAGATGAATCTTCAGATACTGAAGTTTCTGACACAGGCCATGTGGCAGTAAGAAGGAACTGAAGAGGCAGCCAGTCTGTTCTGCCCTTTATCTCCTCAGCTGGAAGCACAAGGAGACCAAGGGTACGTGAGCAGACCAACAGATACCTCTTTCAAGAATCCCCCATATTCAGGTACTCGGAGAACATGTGTACACCTATGTGAAACACATATAGGGACTGGTACTCAAAGAAGAAACACTGTTTAGTAAATACTTTATAGTCCCTTTGACATGATGGTGTCTCCCTTATAAGCCTGCCTTTCCAACACCCTTCTCTAGTAAAAAGAAAAGGAGTACTTGTGGCACCTTAGAAATTAACAATTTGTTAGTACTCAAATAAATTTGTTAGTCTCTAAGGTGCCACAAGTACTCCTTTTCTTTTTGCAGATATAGACTAACACGACTGCTACTCTGAAACCCTTCACTAGTATATCTCCAAACAGCCTACGTCCAGCAAAATTTGCAGAGAATATCGTGCCCACCCATTTCCTATTGTTCAAGTCACAGCCATTTTATTATAGATGCTACACAGATATTACCAAATACCTGAATGACTACATACATCCCCTTATTCATGTACCATAACTAACTTAGTCTAAGGAAATTTATTTTGATATAATTGATGCATTTTTAAATAATTTGTTTGTGAAGATATTTTGACCTATTAGCTTCTGAGTATCAGGTGGAGTCAGTAAAAAAAATGAGATTACAAAGATTTTTAAGCATCCATATATACCCCAGAAGAAAAGGAACAGCCAACTCTTGCTTATTTAAAACTGACGTTACTGTTTTATCTTTATAGTTATCATACTAGGTCATAACGTAGAGTAGATGCTGAAAACTCACAGTTCCTACTCAAATATACCTCAGTGGTTTCGGTATTTAGGAAATAAATCTCTTCATATGCTTTAGTACCATTTAGTCAACACACAAAGAATCTAGAGAACTCTTTAAAGAATCTAGAGAACTTATCAAAATTGTTTCAAAATGGACAGGAAAAAATGTCTCTCTGAATCTCAAATCTTGAATCAAATGTTTTTCTGTGGAGTAAAAACAGCCTAAAGTAGTAATAAAAGAATAAGCATTAATTTTGCTTTTCCTAGCTTTCTTTTTGTATTCTGTAGAATTTATTCTTTTCTTATCTACCATGTCAGCAGAATACTATGACAAACAAAATTACCTCTCCTGTCTCTCACGTTTAGATAAAATTGAGCACCAAATCAGCCCTTGTAACATTTCTGCATTAAAGGCCTTGGAATCTGTCCAGTATATTATCCATGTCTAAATTATCTTAATAGCGGGGCCTGTGTCTTTTTTCACTTCTGAATCAAAGATAAGGAAATGACACCTGCTATCTTCCCTATAACTACAAACTAGGGCTGTCAATTACTTGCTGTTAACCCATGTGATTAACTCAAAAAAATTATGCACGATTAATTTCAGTTTTAATCACACTGTTAAACAAAAGCAGAATACCAAATATTTTCGGATGTTTTTCTACATTTTCAAATATATTTATTTCCATGACAACACAGAATACAAAGTGTAGTACTCACTTTATATTATAATTTTTTATTAAAAATATTTGCACAGTAAAAATGATAAACAAAAGAAATAGTATTTTTCAATTTACCTCATTCAAGCACTGTAGTGCAATCTCTTTATCGTGAAACTGCAACTTACAAATGTAGATTTTTTTGTGTTACATAACTGCACTCAAAAACTAAACAATGTAAAACTTTAGAGCCTACAAGTCCACTCAGTCCTACTTCTTGTTCAGCCAATTGCTAAGACAAACAAGTTTGTTTACATTTACGGGAGATAATGCTGCCCACTTCTTATTTACGTTACCTGAAAGTGAGAACGGGCGTTCTCATGGCACTTGTGTAGCCAGCATTGCAAAGTAGTTACGTGCCAAATATGCTAAACATTTGCATGCCCCGAAATTGTTAATTCTTTAGGATATGAACTGTCTATTATATACAGCACCAGGCACAAGGGGATCCTTGACTACGGCCTCTACATACTACTGTAATATAAATACTTAAACACAAAAAGGTAAAAGAATATCAAGGTTGCGAGGTCAAGCAGCCAAATGTTAGGAAATGCCAAAATTAAGGTTACGCATGCAATGTGAATTTGGCCCCCTTGAGTGCATATAGCTACTTTATAATAATTACACGATCACATACTATTTTTTCCACATGACGTCAATATATACACACAAAAGTGTTGAATTAAAGTTGCACAGGGAACTTTAATTCTGGCAATTTTAGCTTTTGAGTGCTTGACTTTGCTATCACAACAGTCTAATTTTTTTTTTTTTTTGGTATGTAATTTCCCAGTTTTTTAAAAAAAACTGAAAAAAAAATTCCATCTTGTGGCATCATATTGACATCTGTATGGGTCATTACCAACACTGGATCTGTTAGATCCACATCACAGTCCTCTCTGCCTTTTGAGCTAACAGAGTAACTGACAGCAGTAGTATGCTAGCATTCTCTATGTGGCCGAGCAGGAAATACATACTCTGCCAGTGGGTTTTACATATTTTTGCTGACAGAAGAGAAATACTCTAACATAGAAACCTTCGGTTTCATTCCAGGCTCTGAAAAGCAGTGTTCTCTAGTGGTCATAGACCTCTCTGCCCTGGTTCCTCCCAAACCTAATCACTTCTGTCCCAGTCCTGTCCCTTCCCTCACCCTCCTCTGCTCCTCATCCATCCATCCTCCCACCCCACACCCACTTCCACATCCAAATCTCCTCATCCAACTAGTCCCAGTCCCGCCCCCTGGAACTCCTCACTCTAGTTCTAGTCTTCCCCTCATGGCTTCCCATCCAGCTTCCCATTTTCTCCCCATCCTAGCCTCCTCATTCTAGTCCCCCTCATAGTCTTGTTGCTCAGCTAGTCCCAGTCTCCTCCATCTAAATTCCTTATCCAGTCTCAGACTTCCCACCCAGTCCCAATCTCCTGCCCCCATCATCTCCCAGCCCTCAACCCCAGTCTCCTTGTCACAATTTACTGCCTTCATACCGCCCCAAACACAGAGAGGTCCCTGTTCTTGGTCCTTTGCATTCATGCCAGGTTAATTTTTCCTCCATGCTGTCTGAGTGCCAGCAGAGGGAGCACTGAGCACATAGGACAGAAAAAAGAACAGGAGTACTTGTGGCACCTTAGAGACTAACAAATTTATTTAAGCATAAGCTTTTGGGGGCTAGAGCCCACTTCATCAGATGCATAGAATGGAACATATAGTAAGAGGATATATATATATATACATACACACACACACAGAAAATATGAAAAGGTGGAAGTTGTCAGACCAACTCTAAGAGGCTAATTAATTAAGGTTAGCTATTATCAGCAGGAGAAAAAAAACTTTTGTAGGGATAATCAAGATGGCCCATTTCAGACAGTTGACAAGAGGTGTGAGGATGCTTAACATGGGGAAATAGATTCAATTTGTGTAATGACCCAGCCACTCCCAGTCTCTATTCAAGCCTGAGTTAATGGTATCTAGTTTGCAAATCAATTCAAGTTCTAAGCATCCTCACACCTCTTGTCAATTGTCTGAAATGGGCCATCTTGATTATCACTACAAAAGTTTTTTTCTCCTGCTGATAATAGCTCATCTTAATTAATTAGCCTCTTAGAGTTGGTCTGGCAACTTCCACCTTTTCATCTTTTCTGAATGTACATATATCCTCTTACTATGTTACTTACGGCCTGTCCTATGGTGGGTGACTTCTGGGAGCTCTTCTGGCTCTATCGATCTGTTTCTTCACTTCCGCAGTATGCATCCGATGAAGTGAGCTGTAGCTCACGAAAGCTTATGCGCAAATAAATTGGTTAGTCTCTAAGGTGCCACAAGTACCTCTTTTCTTTTTGCGAATACAGACTAACATGGCTGCTCCTCTGAAACCTGACAGAATCTTTAGAGAATCTAGCTTCCAAACTCAAGCAAAACTCTAATGAGCATATGCAAACTGAACTTTTTCAAAGGCCAAATTTTGTCAATTTTTCACAAGAGCAACAAAGGCCTCACAGACAAAGGGCCATCCATCGGTCAAATTTCAAATCCCTACTCCATGGAGAGCTAGAGTGCCTCAATTAAATGGTTGTGATAATTTTTGTTTTGTTTTGTTTAAACATATGGACAAAAAGCCCTTATTTTTCCCTAATCTCATTCTTGGGAAAAAAAAAACATTTTTACTGAAATTTACCAAAGCAATTCAACCTGAGGCAGACACCTTGCATAACAAATTTTAGCCTAAATGGCTGAAGTCTGACAAAATAGTAAGCACCTAAAAACAGGGTCTTATACTGAGAGGTGCTGGGCAACCTTAATTATTCAGTGTTGTATATAGTTAAGTAGTGCAGAAGCACCAGCTATTCGCCAGTGCCATTTAAGATGAATGAGCATGAAATTTCACGTTGGAAAACCAGTATAAAGGCTTTTTGCTGCAAATATTCTGCAAGATGAAAACAAAGCACAGATTTCCTAAGTCATTACTGATGTAGATGAGTGAGCACTCTAAAGATGTAAAATGATATAATGCAAGAAGTGCTAAGAATTATTACACATTATTGTCAACATTTCGGAAAACTTTCATCTATACCTCCACTTGCACAAACAAGATAGCAAAAAACCCACCACAAATAACTAACCAAGTAAGAACTGTAATACAAGAAGAAAGGCAATATTACCTTTTCCTGAAACTACTTCTTTCTCATGTCTCCATCTAAATCCAAACTGTGATAAAGATAAAAACTGAAATTAAGTTCTGAACAGTCAAATAAATTCCAAAGACATACAAAATTTTAAAAAGTTAATTTCAACTGCTTGCTGCCTTTTAGTACTGTTTCCTTGTTTAGCTCTGTTAAATAAAATATTAATCCCTCACCCAATAAAAAGAAACTCACTGATTTTTTATTGTTGGATTGAATCATGAATGGAATCTGATTTAGTAGACACGGATCTACAAGTCTACAATGTTTTGCTAGCAGGCAGAAAGTAAGAGAATCAGGAGAGAAAGAATTGTATTTCATTCTGCATTGCAATTCCTTCTTTACTGTATACAGTGAGGAGAGCGCTGGAAGTTGAAACGGAATGTGAAATAGACATTTTAGTTACGTTTCAACATCCCATTCTCCACCTCATCCCTACATGAATTAAAACAAAACTACATTTATCTAAGGCCTTGTCTACACTACACTGCTAAGCGTCTACACTGAAATGTAGCTCCCACCAATGTCACTCACCCACTACACCAACCTAATAACTCCACCTCCGCGAGAGGCATAACGTGTAAGTTGATGCTGTTAGGTTGACGCAGCGTCAGCTTGCTTACTTTCAGAAACCATCACACAATGCCCCTCACTGGCAGTTAAATCAGTGCAAGCGCACCTTGGTGAGGATGCACACTGCCAACACAAGGAGCATAGTGTGGACACGTAAAACCGATTCAATTACCGCAGTGGCTGTGCGTCAACACAACTTAGGTCGACTTAATTTTGTAGTCGAGACTTGCCCTAACTTGTATTTCTTTTTGTTTCTAGACTTTGTCCAGGAATTTTATATGAAGATAACACAAGCTCCTTTCCCTGAGAAATCGATCTCCGCACTATTCCCTGCTTTTTCTGCCCAGCACCCTTAAATCAAACCATTCCCTGACATATTAGGTGGAGTCTAGTGAGAAGGCCAGACTGTAAGAAAGAAAGCTGATATCAGGATACACAGAGGGAGGGAGGATAGTCTGAAGGAAATGGTCTGGTCTAAGATCACTGCTAATTAAAAAGCAGAGAGGGGAGAACAGAGATCAGCAGCACATCATTTCCCTGGAAGGAGGGTGCTTTTTATCTAATCAGTGTTGCCAACTCATGTGCTTTCTTGGAGAATGATGAAATTTTGGAGGGTGCTGGGCTGGCGATGATGCAAGAAGTGCCAGCCCCCTTGAGAAATTCAGCCGTGTTGGAAGCCAGTAGAGTTTCTCCCCTCCACTCACTGTTCTCACAGAGGGGAGGAGGGAGCAGAGTCTAGCAGCCTAGCACAGTTCCGCTCCTTCCTCCCTCCCCTCCTCTGAGAAATATGGACAGGACAATGCCTCTACTCCTCACCCCTACAGCCTCTAGCCGGGGCAGAAGGGGGGTGAAGAGCCCATGTAGCCACCCACCCCCAAGACCGGGATAGGGGAGAAAGAAGCCTGCTCAAGCCCACCCACAGGTGGAGCAGAGGTGAGGTTGGGGGGCTGAACAGAGGAAGGGGAGTGAACTGTGGTGAGGGCTGAGGGAACTGTACTGGGAGGGGAAGGGGAACTGAATTGATGGTGGGGGTTGGGGGCTGACCTAATGGAGGTGAGGCTGATAAGGCCAAACTGAGTGGGGGGCAGGGGTGAGGATCAATTGGTGGGCAGGACATGGGCAGACGTGGGGGTGAGAGCCCCTGTGGCAAGGACCAATACTTTTGGGAAAGTGAGAAACACTAAATGTCTCTCTCACTCTCACAAATGATGAGCTGGGACAGTTAAAAAAAATAAAATAATAATGTTTTTTCATCTAATTTTTTTTTTAAATCCTCATGATTTTGATCTCTTGAGGGGGACCAACTCATGATTTTGGCAATACTGTGTCTTCATCTGAAATTCCTGGACCAAATAAACATGTCAACCATATAAAATTAAAACTCTTTGGGCCAGGGACCACATATTCATATGTGTTTATAGAGCAATTTACACTATAGGACCCTGATTGGAGAGCTAAGTAAATATAATTTTGTTTGAAAACAAGTTAATACGTATTTAAACTCACCTAAAATTGCCATATAAATTTAGTGCTCTTCTCAATTATTTCAGTGCAGAATCTTCATTTTTTTTATTTCCTAGCTTTTAGCAAGGAAATGGCAGGTTTGTCAGGGAGTGAATTTTACCTTTTTGTTAAATGTAATAATTCATTTAAAAGATATTTTCTGTTTTACTACATATCATTTTTTGAGAAAAAACAAAACACTTGAGTGTCCCTTCAATGCCCAAACTGTCTGTAGTATTTTTTTTTAAACATAATCCAGTAGTGACCAGACTGTGCATTTTTAGCCCATTGATACACGATGAACACAAGGCAACTCCAATAGCTTAACGATGCACATCTCCTGACTTATTGCTTAATTACAGAACTACTCATATGGTATACCCATAATACAATCTGCTAAATGGAAAACCCAGAAAGCAGCCTAGGAATGCATCTGGGAGAATTTCAATTTATCAACTGAGAGTACAGCTGCTGACAGTAAAAGATTACAAAGCTCCTGTTGATGGCTGAATTGGAAAACTCAACTGAGTTCAAAGGAGGCTATCTGCATGTTGTAACATTTATCAAAGGTTAAACCGGACAGAAAAAATACAAAAATGTCATATGGAAATGGAGTAACAACATCATGTAGTGCACACAAAAAAAACAAATAAGAGGAACATGATGCTATTAATATATATATAGACCACTAAGAAAAAACTGCAAGCTGTAATGGGCTACAGTATCACCAATATGTAGATGCTCAGTTCCATAACTCACATGGTATAATCTGCGTTTCATACAATCTCTCTGCTTCTCTGACCTGGTCTATAATTGCAAACATTGTAGCTAAAATTTTGCTAGGGCTAGGGCTTAGGCATTTTTTCCTACAGTAGAACCTCAGAGTTACGAACACCAGAGTTATGAACTGACCAGTCAACCACACCTGTCATTTGGAACCGGAAGTACACAATCAGACAGCAGCAGAGACAAAAAAAACCAAACACACACACAAAAATAAGGTACAGTACTGCATTAAACTTTAACTACTAAAAAAATAAAGGGAAAGCAGCATTTTTCTTCTGCATAGTAAAGTTTTGAAGCTGTATTAAGTCACTGTTCAGTTGTAAACTTTCCAAAGAACCACCATAGTGTTTTCTTCAGTTATAAGCATTTCAGAGTTATGAACAACCTCCATTCCAAGGTATTTGTTATTGTGAGGTTCTACTGTACAGTGTCACCTAACTCTGCTCTGTGGTAAAAACACCTGAGCCCTGCCTGTAAACAGATTCCAGGGTTGCCATCAGTGCTAGAGCAGCGCTGGAGATGATTTATGGTTATGTAGACAAGAATAAGCGGTGCTAGCTGGCAACAGGAGACGCATCTGTAGGAATAGGTGGGAATGTATTGGCCCTCTCTATTCAAGGTACATATTTGCCCTTCATTAATGTAGTTTTAAGTCTTTTAAGACTTAAGGTCCTATTGAACCCATAACTATTTCCTGGATACTCCAGATGCAAGTGACCCATAATGCTTATTTATCATCTATGGTTGACCAGAAAGAAGCAGACCACCTGAAGTGAGGTTGATTATTATGACCGAATTATATCACTACTCCATTCCTTTGTGTGTTTACTTTCAAGTGAAATTTAAGGAATTGGTTCATATTCTTCAAAGCTCTTAATGGTCTGGGATCTGCCTAACTCAGACTTATTATGACTTATTATTCATTTATACAAGCTACAAACTTATGCAGTTTAAGTATATGTAAACTTTACAATACAGAATAAGACAAGTTAGATGTCCTAAAGTACTTACAAGACACAGGACACACTGTAGTTTGTGAGAAGGAACAAACACTGGTGAGGAAATCAAGGTCAGAAATATTTTTGAAATAAGTTGCTTTTAACAAGGGATTTGATGGATGAAAGAGAATGCCAAGCAGACAAAGATTGGGAGCCTGCTTCAAGCATTGAGGCCTACATGAAAAAAGTTGCAAAGTTTTGTGGAAGATTGTGATAAGGGAGAACTGAAGAGAGAATACTGGAAAGAAGTCTGGAGGGAGAGAGGGAGCAAGACTATATAGGGTCTTGACAGGAAGCACCAAGATCTCAAATTTTATGTGGAAAGAGACAGAGAAGCCAATGAAGGTGCTACAGTTAAAAGCACTGCTTAATTATTATATGTACTGTGTACTCCTCCTTCATTCATTCAAAATCTTTACCTGAAATGAAACTTTCCCAAGCCACCTTCTATTCAAAGAACAAAAAGACTGCATGGAACACTGCGAAATAAAGTTACTAGAACTATTTGACTACTCCAAAACATTCAGCCACTTTGTACCTCCACATCATACTGGGGCCACTTGATGTCAGGGCCAAAGCACAATCAAAATTCAACCAGTGGAATGAACCCCCTAAAGACTTTTCTAGGCAGAATAACTTAACAGCAGTCTAGTGGCTGTTCTAACTGGTGCCAGATTCAACTGCCCAAGACTTAAAAGTGGCTCAAAACCACCTTTGTCTCCTCTGTCCCAAGTTGTGTCTTCAGTTAACTTGGTACATCTGAGTATTAAACCCACTCATATATAATGGTGCAAATCTCCATGTATTTGTATTTCATATATAATGGTGCAAATCTCCATTATGCATTGCCTTCATTTTTTAATGTTCCTACTTTCAGTACAGAAATATATTGTACAGAACTACTTTTTTTTTCCTTATGATCAATAATCATTACCATAAAGGCAATAGCGCAGAATGCTTATGTAAAAAAATGCCACATGGCCCAAGCTACACAGAAAAGAACTGGGAGCCAAAAAGTTGCTGGGTCTTAAGTCACGATGAGCCACTTATTCACAGAGTGATTGTGGACAAGTCATTTGAGCTCTTTGCACCCCAGCTGGAAAACTGGGCAGAATCACATCACAAATAATCAGATGTTCCATCTGTACTGAATTTGCCTAGTTAA